CGCCACTCATCATCATTCTCTCTGTGGATATGCTGAGCTTTTTTCTCTTTTCTGGCGTGCTCCAAAGAGCTGCGCCTCTCCTTTGGCGTCTCAGATGCCGAAGGAGTGAGACTTGTACCCATCACCTCTTGTGAGGTGGCGCATGGTGCCTGCTCAGGAGGCACGTTCACAGAACTTTCGGACTTGCAGTGGTCCGGGGTCCAGCAGACACGGGAGTCTGCTAGTCCTGCTTGTCAAATGGTGGAGCAGGCTGCTCCAGTTGAAGGCACTGATGGCACGACCGCGGCCACACTCAGTGTGAAATTCGCAGGTGCCGAAACGTGTGACAGGGTGCCCCAACGCACCACAACGTCAAGAGAGGGATAAGACAGGTTGTATAGTGAAAGACGTTTACGTGCTTCTTGGAAGTTGAATTTGATTTTCAGTTCTATTTTTTCCTTTTCCTTTTTCCACTAGGGGCAAGATCGTTAGTAAGCAGGATGATCTCCTTCGCAGTTCGCACAATGTTCTGCTGAAGCACAAGTGTCGGACGAATGTTCAATGAATGAGCATTTTAAGCAAGTAGGGTGCCCTCTGCCACTTTACAATTCATGTCCGAAGCACTGACACTTGAAACAACAGCGGGGATCGCGTATGTAGGGTCGGACACTGAGCTTGAAATAACCGGTTTTAATGAATTCGGGTAGGTCGCTGGTTCCAAAGGTAATTATAATAAGTTTTGTAGGAATTTGTTTGTCATTAAGCCTGATCATACTGCCATCCTGATCTTGCCATCCTTCTAACAGTTCGCTCTTGCTCAGCTCGAGAAAGTCATCGTCAGAAATTACACCACAGACTGTATTTATACACCTGTGTGGGCCCAGTGAAACAGGAGTATTCCCAAATGATACAATTTTGCACAGTATGCTGCATTGTGCCTTGTCTCAAACTTCAAAAAGGAGGTTGCCACTTCCCATCTTTGTGACTTTGTAGCCTGGACCAATTTTTTGAGTAAGGGTTTTTGAGACTAGGAAAGCTGAAATGGCACGAACTTTCTTCTTTTTGTTTTGACTATGGATAACAAGATATTTTGGGAAGGTCTGCTTTGGTTTGGTTAGGGTGATTCTGTTATCAGTGTGCACCCCTCTTGAGGGAGCTATCAGGAAAGGGGGAAAAGTGTTTGCCATGCGGAGAGCATATATTTCAGCGGCGATAGTGACTACCCACCACTGAGCCAAACAAGAAAACGTTACAAGAGAGAGAGGAAGAGAGAGATATGGTATGAAGAGAGAGATATGGTATAAAAAAAGGCAGGGAAATTGACCGGAAAGAAAGTATCTGGTTTGCTACCCTGAACTGGGGAAGGGGGATAGAAGACAGTAAGGAAAACGGAATGAGAGAGAGAGCGGGAGGGAAGCAAAAACACACACACTAGAATGTCACAAACGTTCGATGAGGCAGGTCGATCGCAAAAACTTCTGGAGGGCCTTCGTCGCTTTTCGGCGTGAAGTTCGATCTTTCGTCATTCCAAAATTAATTTTCCGGAAAGCGGCTCGTCGCCGAGGCATGTAAACACTGCTGACAGGGACTGTCTCCCCTGTCAGAGACAAGGTTGAATATGAAACACTTGGAGACACCAGCCATGCATCGCTGGTATAACCTAATTTAATTACACTGTGTTGATTAGCTACAACACATTAACCTTCACCTCCAGAAAACTTCAAAGTAAACGGAAAAGAAAAGAAGACAGGAAAGATAAAAAAAGGAGAGAGAAAGACGAAGATGCAGGGAGAAAGAGATAGAAAAAGGCGACAGTCAGTTTCCCCTGAGTGGGTCAGTGCAGGGGTGCAGTCTACGTGAAGATGGGGCTAAAGGGTTGTATTGCCTCTGCCGCGGACCTTAAGGTCCAATCACCCGGCATTGGCTCAACCCCCAGGATCTACTTTTCTCCAGACACGGTTAGGCCACGTACAGTGACGTGTGGGAAGGAGTCGAAATCCCCCTCATTGGCTCGGGTCTGTGGTGTCGCCACACACCAAACGCCTGCTTGGGCAGATGTCCTTGCGGGGAGCTTACAAAGAGAGTTCAACTTAAATTGAGGACAACACAGCGAGCGATTGAAAGGAAAATGATAGGTGTAACTTTAAGGGATAGGAAGACAGCAGAGTGGGTCACGGAACAAATGAGGGTTAAGGCTATCACAGTTTAAATCAAGAAGAAGAAATATATACATGGGTTGGGCACATAGCGCGTAGGTAGGGTAACCGCTGGTCATTAAATGTAACTGACTGGATTCCAAGACAAAGCAAATGCGTGAGAGGGAGACCGAAAATTAGATGGGCAGATTAGAAAATTTGCAGGTACAATGTGGCAGCAGAAAGGACAGGATTGGATTGACTGATAGAACATGAGAGAGGCCTTTGCCCTGCAGTGGATATAGCCAGGCTGATGATGAATGCTATTATGTGAACAAGCTAAATATGCCACAACCAGACCTTGCGTCAGCTCACAACCGAAACCCGCTGCTAGAACATGAGCACGACTATTGATAAGGTAACCATAATGACACAGTGCACCACACACCGACACCCGCATTAGATGCCATTTAATTGATAATATAACAGTGAGTCCAGACATTCACGTTTGGCCTTCCAAGATCAAGCTTTACGAGTTTGAGTTTTATTTTAAAGCTTCCCTTTCCATAAAATACCGCTATGTCATTTTCAACCAATTTACTTTGCAGTTTACTAAGGCCAATTTCATTTTACCCCTTCCAAAAGCAATATACGTGCACATGTTCAGCCCATAAACAGTGCAGCAGGAAATAAAGAGCTACGTGTTGACATAAGTTGTGCGGCAGTGAGGTTTCTTTATTGGGACACTATGAATTGCAAATTTAGCTAAGCTATTAGTGGCATGTCAGGCTGCAGCATCCTGTAAGAGAACCGGCGAGCAAAGTTGCTTCAGCTCATTGGATCAACAAGTGTTGTGTCTCACAACCCCATCAACGCCATGATCCACACGTCTGTAGCCACATTTTCTCCCCAAGGACACCACCTCATTTCCTGTGTTTACATTCATCTGTGTTTCTTCTCAGATAACTTTAGCTCTTCTTCATGATTCTTTGTATGCAGAGAAAGAAAGCTGTTTGCAGATTATCAGCAGACTAGAGGGAAAAAAAAAAATTCGAGCAGCTGGCACCACTGCAGCACCTCGTGGCATAGAAGTGGGCCATGTGCTTCCTTCTGCATGGCCTCTGTGGTCCACTTTGGCAGCACGACGTAGTGGTGCCAGTGTTGATTGCAGAGACCATACAGAGAGAAGCGCAGCTGAAACCTTCTAAAGTAATGCAATCGCCGACATTGGCTGTGTGTTCTACAACAAGGAAAAGTGCAGTGCTGAGAAGGAAATTACCATGCGATTGTCTGTAGCTGCTTAGACACAAGATGCATCAATTAATTTATGGTGTGAATTATTTGATGATGCTGTAGTGTAGACAACAAAGGGCTCCACATCTCGCTCAGTTGCACGGCATGCACTTAAAATTGATTTTAAATATGTTCTATTTGCCCTTATTATTTCGTAGATGTGTATGTCTCCCCCTAAATCGATCTCACTCATTATCTTGTCTTCAAAATGTTTGCCAGTGCTTCTTTTAACGAGCCATAACATGGACCCCCGATGAATTATGACTTTCAGTGAAAACTAGAAGAGGGTGTATTATGCCTATACAGACATAAAAAGTGGGCCATAAAAGAATACTTCAGTGCAAAACTGGCCTTAGAAGTTGCTGGCTGTAAGTCCAGCCCCCAGCCAGTGACCACTACCTTGTCGCGGTGACTTCACATGCATCTAAAAGTGGTGCCATCGTCTTCTACTACTGTTTCAGCCATGAAGAAAAAAGCTAAAATATCTCGATTTCACGGGAAGCTGACAACGAAACAACATCATTTACCAGAATCAAGACGCTCACAGAGCCAGCTGTTTGTTAAGTCAGGGCTCGTGAGTGCACCAGTGTAGCCAGACTCCCAGGGCACTAGTGGGAATAATAAATTAGGTGCCCAACTAAATGCACTAAAATTTTGCCAGCTTATTTGTGAATGTTCAAGGATTAACTGAATGACACTGATTATGATCGAAATTTGGACGTCCTGGCCCTTATAAGGTTACACATATCATTTTCCTTTCCATTGCTCGCTGCATCATTCTCAGTTTAAAGTAGTCGTGAAAAGGTCGCTTTTACAACAACAATGAGGCACTATCAGCAGCTACATGCGCTAACTAGGTGACATCAGCCGGAGTAGACCTGCATAGACGCTTTGCCTATTGGGAAACACGAAACTCCCTGGCATTTGCGAGCATACGCAACGAACAGTCATCAGCATTCGCCACACCCACAAAAATGCTGCTTAATATGACAGGAGCTGCAGAGTTAAAGTTAGCATGGATTGCGTATGGCAAAGGTGCCAATGGGTGTCCCAATTACGTGAGCTCGCAAGTACCATGGAATTATGCATTCCTCGATAGGCAAAGCATCCATGCAGGTCTACTCTACTCACGCCCACGCCATCTAGTTAGTGCGTGTGGATGCCGGCGGTTCTACATAGTCGCTTTAGGAGCGACCTTTTCACAACCCCTCTAAGTTGAACCCTTTTAAGTTTATGCTGCAGGTTGCTGCCTCTGCTCATGTCCTAATTAATCCAAACAATTTTAGAAGCGCGCAGAGTGTGAAGCATATGCAAATGTCCAATGCCAAAGAGCAAGAATAATGTTAGTGTCCAATTGAACAAAGTGGCATAGTCTACATACAATGGTAATCAGTGGGAACCATGGAATAACAACATACACAACATAGCACATGCTTATTTGATGTCATCCATCTCAGTACAATATGTTCCTGCCTGGAATCCCCTACAAAATGCAGTCATAGCAGCTAGAAACCAAGGAACAGTTCTTACTTTCAGCAGCTGACACGTTCACATGTTCCATATTGAGCACACAATGTAGAAGATGCAACAAACCTCCGCACGAATTCCTGCACAGCCTCCAATCCAGAATTCTGACAGTTTAATGACTGGATGTATTCCTGGACAAGCATACGTGTCATTGGGTACTTGCCAAAATCCTGTAAAAGAAAAAAGTAGTAAGAAATTAGAATGCTCTAAATAAACTGCTTAATAAAAAAGAAATAAATAGGACATATAAATTACCATGTTGCGTTTCAGTATTCGCTGAACCACAGGAGTGTACATCTCAAAAACCAACTTTGATCGAGGACATTCTCTACAGTGCTGCAAAGACAAAGTAGTTGAAACAAAAACAAGTCAGAAGATATATAATGGCAGAAAATTAGGCAAGTTACACCACTCATCAAAAGAAAACAATAAATAATTTACAAAGAGCATGTCAGAAGTGTACTGTCTACATGAATTGAAACAAGACATAACTTTCAGTATGGAAACTGGTATTCACAATTGCTCGAAATCACCACATTATGTCTCTTCAAAACTGGCTGCTAAAAATAAGATTGCTTCTGATGCAAATGGTCGAGACAAAATTACGCCGATATCACAAACTGAATGTGATGGAAACAAAAGTATGAGCGTTACATAGCCCTAAACTGCTGCATTCCAATCCAAGAGGATTGTACTTTGTTGGAGAAGTTGTCAGGCATGTGTCAGGTATGTGAATAACTCAAGAGAAATACAAATGTTGAGATGAAAACAAGTTGCACTGTCTAGATTGAAACTTGTCTTCAACGAACACAACTTGCCAGCGGCAAGTTGTCTGTAAAAGTGTGCGATTAACATCCCCTAGATCTCTTTTGGTTTCATTACCAGCTGGTTTTCCTCAATGATGTTTAGTAGAAATCACACAGTAAACGCTTGTTCACAGCAAACAAAAACAATGGCCAAGCTAGCATGCCACAGTGTTCAAGAAAAAAGGCGAATAAAGTCACCAGCTACAGCCAATAAGCTCTATAAAGCAGTAACATCAACCTTATGATCACCACTGTTGACCTTCAAGGCACACTCGAAAATCACCGTCTCCTAGGTTGAAACCCAGAGCTTGCCATTTCACAAATGTTCATCAATTGCATTTTTAACACAGCAGCAGCTTTCAACGTGATCGTCCAGAGACTTCCATATTCCAGTTACTTGTAACAGTTTGCCACCTTCCCATCCCCCACAGCAAGAACTCATAAAGGCGCTTACCGTAGCTTTACTAATAGTTTTACAGCAGAGCTGTTAAGGTCAGGATATGTGTCGGCCATGTGTTATAGATAGAGAATGATCATCATCATCATGAGCTGACAAGCACTCGAACACTCCCCAAGCACTCTGTACAGATGGCTAACAAGAGAAGCTGCGATGTGCGAACCCTAATTGGTAGACCAGAATGCCGAGTAGTGGGAGTAACCAATTTTTGCGGCACATAACGCAATACAGGAGTTTTTTACAGAAGGAAAAGTTTTTTACAAAAAGGGTTGGTTTAGCTGCAGGCATGGAGAGAAAGACACAGACTTAAGAAAAAGACATAAGGAGAGCAAGCATAGCCCCGTATACATAGTATAGTACATCGAGCAAAGAGTGGGACAGAGACAGGTGAGAGAGTAAAAGCCTATAGCCAAGTCAGGACAACCTAGGCACCCACGAGCTCTGCTGTGACCCAGCCGTGCACGAGTTTGTACAAGATGTGCTAATTTTTTGGCCAGGCAATTTGGCACATATTTAGAAATGAACAAAAAATGGTCAAACAGATACATACACAAGGTAGGACACAACGTTGCAAGAGTTGTAAGATTCTGAAGACTTCAAAAACAAACAAGGACATTTATCTAGGTCAACTTGAATGCCATAAAACTCTGGTTCTGGAGCTGGCAGAGTAATGAAATTGATATTACTGGATTTCTTTGATTATGCAGATGGCAGTAGTACCCTCTGTTGAGCAAAATCATGAAAATAATTTTTCATGATACTATATTTCGAAAAAAGCTATGATGGGCCAAACAAAAATAATTTCAAATGAGTTAAACAAAAATACACCTCCAATTTGAAATGAACCCATAAGTTATATATGATGTGTGTGTATGAAGTGATATGACTTGAATAATAAATTTCTAAAACTCATGCTTTGTTCTGAGGCCCCAGCTCCCCAAATTTATTCACACAATTTTAATGGAGTTCTTACAGAAGACTGTACCAAAATCTCAGCACCTAGAGTTTATTTTTCTTCAGGGTACCTTAACACATTTAGCAGATGACGTTAGCACAAGGGAAGTTAATAATAAGCACACCAAGTAACAAGTTTCATGGCTCTATACAATTTGACCCTTGGGCAAAGAGTGAACATTTTTTGCCATTAACATTTTTTGCCATTAAAATATCAGACTGTTTCGAAACAGCTTCATCCCTTTCACATTTCAGTCCTAGGGTCCTTGTTTGTAGGAGCAGTGGCACAAAATTTCAAGCTTGAGATGCGGCCTTCTCTAGAATGCTTGACATACATAAGCTTTTTAAGCAAAGTATGAATTACGTCCATTACATAGAAGTTAATTTACTTCCAGGGCAAACAACGTAGAAAGCCACAACGTGGCATTTAGCACCCTGCAACATTGACAGCACAATGACATGTTCATCGGTTCCCCAGGCCCTGCCCAAGGCGCTGAGTAACGATGCACTAGTAACGACAATGTCAACGATCACAGGGTTGTCATTGTGGTACCGACTGGCAGCAGCACTTGGCAGCGGCTTGACTTATTAGCGTTGGTGTGTTGGTTCATTTCAAATCCGGCATCTTCTCCGTGCTTTCAAGGTGTATCAACTCTTTATATGAGTTGCCGTGTGCTCCTCAGTGTGTGATACTCTTTAGCGCCAATCTCAACTGCATTAAATGCTAGCATGTTGTGAAACAGCTGTGCATGACTGTCACCAGTGGCGTTTCAAGTACTGCAAGAAGGAATGTCTATGCTGCAGAGAGCTCCGATGGTTAGTTACAACAGCTTCCAAGCAGGACCGTGCATGCAATGCACGTCTTTTGACGCGTCTCCATGATGAAGTGAACACTGGCCTTACAATCCCAGAGACTATGTGAAAATAGAGAAGACGTTTACACTGCTGTCCTTGGGATTTTGACAGCAACAAAGGCGAGATGTGCTAGAATGAACGGCTGTCTGGGGACAAGACGCACAGAACGTCAAGAGCCCGTGTGTGCATGTGGGTGGGTGGGCGGTAAAAGAAGGTGAGCTCAGTTTTGTGAAATAATTGGCATATGCGAATGAAATGCGAACATATTTCACCTTTGCAAGAGCCCTCCAACACTTTTGAAACACCTATTTGAAACACCGCATCGGCATGTAGCGGTGCTCACCAGAACTATTGCGAGCAAAAATGGCGATGGATGGTGCAAGCCTATAATTGGGTAAATGTAATGTTATATTCGATTATGGCATGGCATCACAACTGAGATTGCTATTATGTTTCATTTTCCTTTTTTGTGCTTTTTCATTAAACCCTGAACTGATGCTGTCACAACAAAAATGACCACTACAACAACAAAGCACAGCAGAGGCACTGGCTACCATTTCGCCTCTAAATTTTTCACTTGCACGGGTCAGATGTTTATATCAAAGGCCTTTTTTTTCTTCCCTCAGCTTGCTTCTGTGCATTTTCAAGCTGTCTGTTTTCCCAGGTGGGATAGGCTCTTGATTGTTATTGAAGCAATGAAGTAATAGCCTTTGTTGAAGTGATGTTGCTGAACACTTATAGTTCATCCAGCGACTCATCGAACAACCATCGAAGGGTCAACAGCACTTTACCACCCTGGTCTTTCCACACATTCTTTCCCAAGAATGAGAGGAGGGAGTGACATATAGTGTAGTTGCAAAGAACTGTAGAAAATACCTTGCCTCAAAACAGTGGCGCCTGCTCACATTCTCACAAGTCGGGCATCAGGCACCTCGCTTGTTACTATGGCAACGACATCTATAATACATTGGAAAGACAAGCAACAATGGTGTGCAAGCTCCAACAACATAAGAGCTTCCACCTAATTTTATTGAGAGAGCCAACCAATGCTAAAGGGCGAGTCAGAGTACATAAAATGCGGTATAGTGACCCACAAAAATCAAGTTGAGGGTAGGCATTTTTTTCTTGTACTTTGAATATTCTAAATCGATTGAATTCTGACTGCATGTCATTATTGCTGCCGTTCTTGCTGCATTGATTGGTCCATACTTCAGTCTCTATTATAGAACCCATGCATAAAAAATTGGGGCTTGAATAGTGTTGGAGGGCCCCTTCAAGTCGACTGACCATTTGTGTTAAATAAACCATTCGTTATTGTTAGCCCACTGAACCCCTGTCCTGCGCACAACGCTTTTTCGTGTTCTGTGTTTTTATCAGCTAGCACGACCTAAGCGTGCATCTCCAAGTGCAATCTCAGAGTTTCTCAGCCCTACGTTGATTTTAGAATAGATGCTTTGCTAAGGATCGTAGCGAAAATGATTCACGACATCGCAAATCCCATCCATTTCCTATTCCTCAGTGCTTTCTTCATCACTTGTAGACACTGAAAATAGCGGTGAAAATGGTGGTGGTGATGAACACATTACTACCCATGTGTGCCTAGAGGGCGAAACGCCAGCTGCAACTCGAGTCACGGTTTCCTCTCTATACGCGATCAGATTAGGCATGACAATGGAAGGTGGGTGCAGGGCAGCACCGCCAGCACTGCAAACTGCACAAAGTTGACGACACTGCTCTTCCAAATTGCCCTCCATCCCATCTACTACAACTGGTTTAGATACAATAAATTTTCTTATATAGCAAATACATAGCTCCTTTCTGGCTAGTTTACTACAGGATACACTGGCTTGTCTAGCTTTAGAGCCTATCCGAGGCTCTCTAATCGATATAAACAGTCCTAGTGTGCACTGCCACAAAATAAAAGACACTGTTTTTTTTTTGCGCCTTGAGCGTTCATACAAAAACTTAGGGCACAAGGACAACTATTCTGAATGTTCTTTAATTTGTTGTAGCAAAAATTTATAAAAACAAAAACTACAGACGTATACATTTTTATTAAGACACTCACCTTACAAAAATATTCGCATATCTCAGGAGAAGGCGTCGTTCTCTCCAACAGTGGAAGAATTGCATTGATGACAGCTTCGACATCTTTAGCAAAAAGCCATTCTCTGCTCTGGAATTTGAAGGAATGAATAAAAAGTGCTCTTGACGTGAAAGCAGCGGTCATTAGATAGTTCCCCTGGACAGAACACTTACCTGAACAAGGAACTTGGATATAACTTCTAGGGGACGTTGGTAGATGTTCTTGTCTTGCAGGGGTGTGGTTAGTGCAAGTTCAACCAAGTTCTGGAGCCCAAATACAGAAGAAAGCTCTATTAGAACGAATTACATTCTTCGAGAGATGTGACAGCATTATTTGTGCTCATCCGCTCAATTTAAAAGAGCTCCAACTCTCATTTAGCATTACAAAAAAAGAGAGAGAGAAAGAAAAAATAGAACATAAAATACCTCGTGGTGCATTTTTTTATATATCATGATATATCATACTTATGATAAAAACACATGAGTCAATATCGAATATTGTAAATGCATACAAATATCCCAGGGTACACATCTCTAATTTCACAATAACTACATAATAATTAATGCCAAAAGAACTTTAGGTTATTGTAACACTTTATACCAAGCTCATTAGCATATGAAATTGTTACATCATTAAACATTCATGTTGAGTTTGTAATACACATGTGCTGTTTGCTATCGAACTCACCACAGTCTTCCTGAATACACAGAATCTCTTCAGAATGAATCAGCTTAATTTAGTATGTCCAACCATGCATATACCACCAGCATCTTGCATACTGCATACTATCAATATAATATTAATGTGTATATAAATGTAGATTGATTTATTGATATGGGGGGTTTAACGTTACGCCCAAAACCACCATATGATTATGAGAAACGCCCTAGTGGAGGGCTCCGGAAATTTCGACCACCTGGGGCCACCGGAAGATTGTCACCGGAGGTGGAGCTGAAGATGGGCCTTCGGGTTGCGGACCCGAGTCAAGAAGACATCAACCGTCCGGGGCCACGATGTTCCCGTTCGAGAAGACTATAGCCATCCGGTTGTAAACTCCAGTCCAGGGCCTGCGGACTTGAATGCTGACAGGCGAGTAACAGCAGTTGGGCTTCGGGCCCGAGCTGTGCATCAAGCTACCGGCAGGGTTCTCCATGATTTCTCAATGGGTCGCCAAGCAATTAGCGTTCCCTCACCGTAACCAGCCAGCCCAGTGCCCATGTCAACTCCATCAGTAAAGCCTCATCATCTTGGTGAGACACAACTGGCATCTTTCCCTGCTCCACCACTCATCGGTGTCCGAACTATGCTTTGTCGTTTAAGGTTTTGAACTTTCACCCGGTGCGTGTTAACGAATGTTTTACCGCAGCAGTCAACTTTTTATTAAGTGCATGTGCAATTTTATGGATTGATTGATTGACTGATTGATTTGTGGGGTCTAACGTCCCAAAAACCACGATATGATTATGAGAGACACCGTAGAGGAGGGCTCCGGAAATTTCGACCACCTGGGGTTCTTTCAACGTGCACCCAAATCTGAGCACACGGGCCTACAACATTTCTGCCTCCATCAAAAATGCAGCCGCCGCAGCCGGGATTTGATCCCGCGACCTGCGGGTCAGCAGCCGAGTACCTTAACCACTAGACCACCGCGGCTGGGCGACACATTACCCTTTCATTTCCCCGTTGTGGTGGGACGAAATTGTCTCACCCAACTATCCCAGGCCTTGTGCCTCGGGTAAAATGTCACCAATAGCCAGCATTTTCTGACCATGTTATAAAAGAATTGCAAGGCCCCTATAAGTGCTAGAACATTCCTCATGAACCACTACACATTTTTGGGGCGAAGCTCCTTAAGGTCGAGGCTTGTTCGTTGGCGTGTGCCATAGCCGTGATGATGATAACATTAATGATCATGGATAATAACCGACTTTTGAAGTATACGACGTCTCAATACGCTTTACGATGCATTTCGTATGACTGGAAACAACCAACAACCATCAGGGGAAGGTGCACAGACCTCGTCTTTGCCAACTTCAGACTAGATCCGATACCACAAAGCCGTAAATATGAAGGCAAAACGAAATTGACAACTCAATGAAATATACCACGTATTACTAATAAACCTTGTATATAACTGTACACCGCTTAGTCTCTCATTTACATGCTTGAGTGGTCAATAGCACGGGTGATTTACGGTAACACTGCATCGCCCACTCATTATCACTCACTTCGTAGTGTCAGAGTATGATCATCCCCAGCTGCGAAATGTTTGCACCTCTTGGCACGCATGTCTCTCGTAGATGGGTCGCATTTAGGTTTAACAGCCAAGCAAGAGGTGGTGTTCTGCTCGCGCGGGTTTATCACGATCATCATCATGATGGTTAGTGCAGTAGCACCGGCAGTGATGCCTGGCAGCGATGTTGGGTGGCGGCGCATGAGACAGGAGACGCTCTCTTTTGGCGCATGGTGGGTGACGTGGATGGTCGTCTCCCAAGAGGGACGGTCCCGCAGGATGTGGCAATCGCGGGTTGACTTTCGTGGGTCCCTAGCGGTGAGTCGAACATTGGCAACGCTGCCTTCTTGTTGCCTTGTGTTTGTTCTTATGTTCGATTGAGTGTATTAAAATATTGTATAAGGTTGTACTTAGAGTGTTCATTACTAGTAATGTATTTGATCTGGCTGACGATACCGTCCAAGAAAAAGTAGTTCAATAAATGTTTTGTTTGGTTTGGTTCAACCGTGTCTAGTGTGTCCTTATGTCCAGAGAGGGTGTTGCCTTCATTCAGACCCCCCATAGTGGATATGCCGTGCTTTTTGTTCTTTATCACTAATACTGCATCACAGAGATATAGAATGTGCAAAACTCAAATGCGCCCCCCTTCCGCCCTTTTTATAGCTCAACATCCTGATGCAAACAAGCACAACATGCACGTTAACAATCTGAAAAATTGTTAAAGGGATGCTAAAGGCAACTATTAAGTCAACGATTGTTGAAATGGCAGTCCAGAAACCTCATAGTGTTTATTTTGTGCCAAGGAAGTGCTTATTCTAAAATAAAATCACGTTTTAGTGGCCCGCATCAAGCTAGCGTACTTCAAATTACCTGCCTCAAGAAGCGGTCCGACTCAGGTCACTGTTGCCGTGCACAACGTTGCCCTGCTTTACTGCGCGGTCACCGACACTAGTAGACAAAGCGAAAGCAGAGGGAGCCACAGCAGCAACAATGCCCATTGACCAATTTCCTGCCATTGGCTCAGAGATTGCAGACGTGTTCAAGTTCAATTGCACCCCGCTAGATGGCACGAACTGTCCAGTGTAACCACGTGAAAATTAAATTTTTGAACCACTCGTGCCATTCTCCATAGTAACGTTCTGTAGTTCTTTTTTCCATGAATCAAATAGAAACAAACAAGCAACATTTTATATGTCTCCTGATGCATGGAAGGTTCTCTATTTAGTTCAGCTAGTTCGATTACTAGTGATTAACTGTAGGTGGTTCGTCTGGCATCATCGGGATCATTTTGAGAATGTCTTACTGCAGCGCATGTATTCTTGCGCATTTACCTTAATTTCTCGGTAAGTAGGACACTGTTCTTCATAATAGTATTGTCATTTTAGACGTTATCATACATTAAGCTTTTGCTCTGATGTAAATTGTTATTTGACTTTAGTGTCCCTTTAACATGCAATATGTGCAAACATCATAGGAGTTGAAATCATTTTCATGATCACACATGAACAAAAAGCACTGGTTAAGTAGGTCTCATCATTCGTCTCGTTTTACACATATGCCATTGACTAGCTCAACACTTCTTTCACCTTTAAAAGCCTAAGAATTATTTGTCAATCCAGCCTTAGTTAGTTTCTCATTGGTACTACTCTACAGTGGGGTATTCACAGGGACAACACAATAATTGATATACAAGAGTGACATTGTTTCTTAACAGCAATAATCTGGAACATCTTACCTTCAATTCTTTAGTCACAACTTCTATCCTTCGTGACGTCATAAGAATCTTTTCATGCTTCAGTAGGCTTTTCTGTTAAGATGATAAAATACAAAAACTAGACTGCACAAGAAGCAACACGGCCAATAGCATGACATACTACACCTTGCACACCTTCAATAAGTTTGTTTTTCCACGTTCAACCAACTATTACCGTAATAACGCACTTTATGTCAATCTTTTATTGTTTTTTTCTGGTGTAAATTATATGAAAACTAGCTGATTTTAAAAGTTTAGCTATTCAGAAGATGCTTACTACTCTGATAAAATAAGCAACTCCTTATGTTAAATGGCATTCAAGCTATCCAGAAACACATATCCCCCAAACTTTCAACAAAAAGTGAGGGTCCCTTAAGCTTCGTCTTTAAGAGTTCAATGCAATAGGGAGATCTTGTCCCTACTAAGTACTTCAAACACATGAAATCTTCTCAAACTTGCTATGCACCCACTACTTGGGTTTTAAGCGGTGGTGCCACCTTATTTGTGGCTTGTGCGTTCTTTGCTGCAAGCATTTTTCGTAGCTCTAGGAAGCATGATACATGCACCAACATTAATTTATTCTTGCTAAATAAAATAATATTGCCCTTTTTGTGTAGATAATTTTTGGTTTCGGTTTCTTGGTGCCAAAATGGACTGTGACATGGCAGTGTAGGTGGCTTGGTCACGTGACCACACAAGAATGTGACGCACGTCACGCCGATTATAGCCTGCTCTTGCACAGACCCACGCAAACACCTGCAAAACAAACACGCAGCAGCCATGATATTTTGATGGTTATGTACGTAGCAGAGGTCTCCAGAGGTTCTGACCTCACTACAATAGGCGTGCGCACGGGAGAGTGGTAAGGGGGGAATGCAAATATAGCCCCATGCACTGACATAATAAGGAGGGGGTGCTGCGACTTGGGGTGGCGGGGCACAATGTCAGCCCCATATATTGACATAATAGAGAGGGGGTGTGCTGCAATGAACCTTTGTTCCTTTGTTCACACTGAAGGGGAAACTTGCTCCCACCTACGCTCACTACAGATCTGGTGTGGCGTCACTGCAACTTTTATTTTTTTTCCTACAGAGCTACAACAGTTCTGGATGCGCTTGCGATAGGCTTCTGTCAAAAGAACAAGTATTTAAATGCACTTCGGAGGTGAATTTAAATATACAGTCAAACCTCTTTAATACGTACCCACTTAATGTGTAACTGTGTTTTATACGTAATCGTGAGGAATCCCCTACCCATTCTCCATTGAACCCCATGTATTGGCTGACCGCTTAAGCCGTAGTCACTTGTGGTGTTACATGCGGTTAGTACGTACTGTTTTCATTCTCATTATCCATGCACAGGCCGAAAATCGGCAAAATTTCATGCGCGCAGACGTTCAATACACTAGCTGTAACGATCGGACTACAACAACCAGCGATAGTGATGTCAAAACATGGCCACGTTGATGTATTTTCTGCGTGTACGGATGTTGCCAATTGCATTGTGCAAAAGCATGGCCTTTGAGATCGGTTTTTGGTAAATCAGGAACTCTCTGTCGCTGCTCCTGGTAGGAGGTGCAAATTCGCTGTCGCTTTCCAATCCAAGCCAAGTACCTATTCTAAACGGCTCAACAGCACTAAGCCAGGCCGAGCATGTTTTTCGTTCGGTCTTTAAATAGAGTTTCCTAATACTAACTAGAGGGGACTCTGGCACTGTGATCGTTTAGCGACCATGGGAATGATGGGCAGTACATGGATTCCCCTAGTCTTCGTACTTGTGGGCGGCGAATCGCACTTGTGGCTTCATTTATTGTTGTGTTTCAGTTTTGTTTCAAAAAAAAGAACGAACCCTTTTCAGCTTCGTAACCCGATCTGAAAAGGTAAACCTAAAAAAATAAGGTGGTGAAGCACAACCGCTGAACATTTGCTGATTTCTGTTACGTGAGAAATAGCTCCAAGCCACACGAACTAGAGCACTGCACGGGCCGATTTTTCCGGCCCGAGCCCGGCTTGGCCCAAAAACTTCATCCTCCAGCCCGCCCGAGCCCGGTCTGGTGTTTTTAAATACGGTCCATACCCAGCCCGGTCCCGAAAGGTTTGGGCTCGGCCCGAACAGGCCCGGCCTGTTTCAGCCAATTATGCCTGGAGCATAAATGAGGCACTGTCCGATATTCAGTAACTGTGACGATACTTGCCGCAAACAAGATATTTTTTAGACTGTCTTGAGAACTTCTTTGAGTGTCATGAATTTAACTGGTGTATTCTGTGTACTTTCAGGTAATTATGCCCGTAACACTTTTGGGAAATAATTGCAGGGTAATTGAAATATAATTGTGTTGTATCATGTACGCAGTGCCAACCGCAAAATCTTGTTTTGTTTCATTTCAGAGAATCACTACAAAATATTCTACACTTATAAACTGAAAAAAAAAAAAAAAGACACATTTATAGTTTCAGTCCACATTACTTGCATGAAAGCCGGGTTTGTCGAGTAAATGTAACAAGTCTCCTTCAAATGTCATTCATTTATTACGCCATGCAATAAAAAAAAAAAAAACACGCTTTAGATAATTCTGAGATTCTGAGAGGACTACCGGGGGGGGGGGGGGGGGGGGGAACTCCCTATACCTCCCGTGTATTCACTCTCGGCAGCGGTAGAGCACGTTTTACCACTGGCGGTTGCAGGGCAGCCTACTAGAAATAAATGATGAATAGAAAATTTATTTCATGAAGTCACTGGTGAGGTCTCCAAATAGAGGGAAAGGATGAAAAATTGACAGGAGGAGGGTTGCCGCAAAAGCCCTACTTTCCCAATTCGCAGGCATGCACAATGCGCTCGTGCCTTTTTTAAGGTCCTCTGGCCGCTTGGCCAATGTGGCCATAAAATTTTGTAAATCTTTTTTTTAAATTTTGTTCATGTTTTCAGAAGAGGCGAAAGTTAAGCTGACTGATTTCCCAGTAAGACGAAACTTGTTGACCACCACAAATAAAATGAAGTTTTTTTATTGCACGTTTGTATATAAAAAATAACACACACTTAGTGCGAAAGTGTTGATCTATAAAAGCAGCTTTGATTTACAATAGACATACAGACATAATGAGCTAACGTTGAATCCAGAATACCAGAACCAATGAGAAAACTATGTATCAACAAACTCAAGTATGACACGTATTTGACTCAATTCACGTTTGTTATGATGGTGTGCATAGCTTCTTTGCAACTGTGCAGCTTGCGAAACTGTGCGTCGCAAGCAGGTTGGTCCTCTGCAGACACCAAGGGAAGATAAACTAAGCGCGTGCAACCTGTATACATTAAATTTTTGACAGGAGTATAGACTCATGCTTCCAGTTTTGATGTGTCTTACTTATCCGGTAATATAAAAAAAACGGCAGAAATGGGGGAAGAAGTCTGAAGGGATGCAAAGTTTCTTAACTCCGAGTGCCGCAGGAGCAGTCACACATTTATCCGGTAAAAGGTGCCAATGCCCCCTGTTTCGAAGTGTACAGCAAAAAATCAAAATGATAATCATTGAACTTCCTTATATAGAACCCTTACGTCCCCTGCAGGAGTGCTTGCACGTTTTAGAGCACCATGAGAATACTTGCGCTTTGACATATGGAAACGCTTATGAATTACTGTCGAATTATGAAAAGCGCGTCCGTAAAAATAAGCGAAAACTTTTTCAATATGATGGACATTCTAGTTAAGTCTATAGCCTTTTTGGGTATTTGCCAAGTGCTGAATATTTGCATTGGCCTTGCTAGCACCCGAAATTGGGAGCATTTCCATCGATTGGCGCGCCCGTCACAAAAGTCGCTTCGCATCTCGCTGTTAAAGTACACCAACAACAGCTCCTGAGTTATTAATGACTCACGAGTCGCGTATTACGCAGGTGGAGAAAGGCTTGACGAGCATGCGTGTGTATATGCATACTGAAAAATTTTCCCAAGTTAGCAGCGCACACATATTATATACACTATTATAATATTAGCAGTGTACCGTTGCTGTTGCTACAGTACCACCTAACAAATCTTTCCTTACAGTATGCAAATATTAGTGAAGACGTATTGTCACGACGTCAAAACAGAGGTCTTGCCGCAGAGATTGAGACACCAGAAGCAGGTCGATCTTTTTAATTAGAACGCGCAAGTGAGTTCTTCTTTTTCGTTTATTTCGTAGTCCTTCGTGGCACATGCACAACTGCAATCATCTTTCTTGAGCTAGCACGTGACATTTGCCTCCCTCCGAAAGAAGCATCGTCCCGATGTGCAACTTAGGTGCTCTACCAGGCATATGAAGTGGTCGTACGAAAATGGTAATCGGGAGCTAATTAACTCGATAAATACGGTTTCATACGCACGACGTGCACGACTTCGGGCAAATGCTTTTGGCACTTAGAACTACAATCAGTGTCAGGAACAACTTCGTAGTTCACGTCGTTCAAGCGTCGCGTTACGCTGTATGGACCAAAGTACCGTCTTAGTAGTTTCTCAGACAGTCCACGTCGACATATCGGAATCCAGACCCACACTTTGTCGCCTGGTGTGTAGCTAATAAACTTGTGTCGGGTGTGGTAGCGATGTGCATCTTGATGCTGCTGACGACAGATGCGCACGCGCGCGAGCTGTCTGGCTTCTTTGGCGCGCTGAGTGAATTGTTCGGCGTCTACCTTAATGTCGTCACACTCATGCGGCAACATGGCGTCCAATGTTGTCGTGACTTCGGACCATAGATCAGACTGAACGGTGTCATTCCAGTGGTTTCTTGTCGAGCGGTGTTATAAGCAAAGGTCACGTACGGCGATATCTGATCCCAGTTTTTATGTTTCGTGTCAACGTACATGTTGATCATGTCTGTGAGGGTCCTATTGAGGGGCTCCGTCAGTCTGTTTGTCCGCGGATCGTATGCAGTTGTTCTCCGGTGAGCTGTACCGCTGAGTCTGAGAACCGACTCCAAAAGCTCTGCGATGAAGGCAGGTCCTCTGTCTGTGATCACTGTTGTCGGAGCGCCATGCCGAAGGACGATGTTTTCGATGAAGAACTGAGCGGCTTCTG